AAAAAAAAAAAAAAAGATAAATACATTTTTTTGATTTCCATTATTTTCAAAATATATTTTTCTCTCTTCTTTTCAATCAAACATTCTTTAATAAAATAATATAACATGCAAATTCAAAATTTTTTCTTATTTTTTAATCACATATTCTCCATTAATATACTATTCTAAAATACATTCTTAAAAAATAATTTGGCTCAAACATGCTCTATGTAAAAAAGACAAACTTTGCAAATAGTACTAAACCATTTTTTCCCATCTTAAATGGAATGGATCACTTAGTTACGTTGCATCCCGACCCGAGTCTCCACATCCACTTTTTTCTGCCTGAAACCAAAGAAGTTGACTTTGCCAACACGGCATTAGGATTGTCCCCTTCATTCTACTATGCTAACCTCGGCATGGGCAGACTTTTGGGAAGCCTGTTCCCACTCTGTTCATGATCGATATTAAAAGTTGATGATGTATTTGCTATAGATATTAAATGTTAAGATTAATTATGCAAATTTTCACAAAGGAAATGTGGGAAAAATTAATGGTGTAGTGTTGAGAATTGAAACTACGTTGTTTGCAGCCACAAGTTAAAACTTTTACCATCAGGTTATATACTTATCGTTGCCAAAATCCTCAAATTAAAAAATGTTGTCGTGACAGCCTCTCTCGTGCCTCCGCACCCGATTGCGACAAGTTAGCTCGTTATAATTGTATGGCTTCATATTGCGCTTTAAACCCAATTTGGTGGGCTTGTATAAAACTCTTTGGGCAATTAGGCTTTTATGTTTGGGCCTGTAATCAGCCTAAACTAGCCCATAATTCCATCATCCCAAACCCAAAACTCTTTTGACGTCAAATTTAAACCGATTTGTCGCCCGCCAACTGATGATTGTTGATTCTGAATCCGCTCGTACTCGTTACACGTACTTTTGAGCTGATCTTTATGCTGATAATTACTGCATAATTTATGATTACAGATTCCAATTAATTAGTATTTGAGTGTTCGCATGCATCACTCTGCTGTTTTAGGGCTAATTTGATGTATATTTGTTGATACTTGGGGAATTAGGGTTTTGAACATTATTGGCATTAAGGTAGGATTTTCATTCAAAAGGTCGGTTTCCTATCCTATGGAATACAGCAATATCAAAAAAAGGACTCGATTTTCTCCAATTAGATATAGTTTAGGTAAAAAGGATTCACCGGTACTCAATGATCGTAAATATGACAAAGCAGGTCGGTTTAGTCCGTGTTCGATCTGTATGTAATGGTGGTTTGACAGTGCTAATCTTAATTTTGTGCGTTTGGATCTCTGACTTGGGAATTGCGTTTTCAAAAGCGAGCTGGACAAGAAATGATGTCTCAGAAGGAAGACGCAATCCATGTGGAAACATTTGTATATTGTGGATTGCAACAACTACTCACCAGGTACACGTTCATCAATCGAATTTATGCAATGTTATTTTGAATAGTTAAATGCAATAGAATTAATCTTTTACACCAAGCTGTGCAGTTTTCTGACCGTCGAGGCATTTGGGTAGGATTAGGATGCTCAACTTTTCTTATAGACAATTTCTTTATTAAATAGTAGTCGAAGGATTTAGGTATGAAGGAACTGACATATGGGGCTATTGTATGAAATTATCAGTTATGGGCAATCAATTTCCCTGACGAGACTTCATTTTTTCTGACCTTTATTTTTATTTGGTGTATTAATCAATGAATTTTGAAGTTAAGCTAAAAGAATGAGTAATATACATATATGCATGTATTCATTAAACAATGAAAACCAAGGATTGGTACTAATGTTAGTACATATGTACATGGATTTACAACAAGGCAGATTTAAACACGATGATACCAAAATTATAAACAGGAATTACCAAGAGACACAATGTTAGTAGTAGCTTTCGAAATGATTGGTACAAATTTGAGATGATTCCTTTTTTTCATTCTTTTAAACCTGTACTTGCTGGGATCAGATCAGAATGATGGGACGATTCCATAGCCACCTTCTTCTATTGGCATTGTTGAGAACATCTGGTCGACTCCTTCATCTGTTCTCTTTGCAAATCGACCTTTGATCCTAGGTCTGGTGTCTGCATAGGCCTTCCTTGATGCATACCTGATTGTCTTCTCAAACTTCCTCGCCTTCTTCTTCTCTCTGTACCTTAACACTCGCGCTTCTCTGTCCATTGGAGAAAGTTGTGTTGGCATTGAGATAGGAGGGCTGGAGAAAAGATCAATTGTCCCCTTTGGAGGTCTTGGGTGGGAGACTGAAACCTCTCTCATTGTGTATTCTGGAACAACTCCAACATCTAAAGATGAAAGTGATACCTGATTTCATCACCAAGAAAAAAACTTGTTCCTTTAGCTGAAAAATTTGCACTGGGTAATTGAAGAAGACAATGACAATTGGATAGGACTCGACAACACTAAGATACATGCAGAAGCTAAAATGTAGTTTATTATATCATCTAATCTTCTTTAATACTGCGTATCAAATATGCACTAGTGGAGAAGAACTTACAGTGTCAGAAATTGAAGTGGGATTATCATAACCATTCTTCATGGCCTCGTACTCCATCCTCAATTGAAAACCATGGTTGTGAATCTGATCCGTACTCTTTCTGTACTGGATTGGCACAGCATTGTCACTGCCATGGCTCTTTTGAGAAACATTGTAAGATTGCTGTTGATTGTTGTCCTGATTACTGAACTGGTTGTCCTGACATGAATTGTACTCGTCAAGGTCTAAATACTTGTCAACCTCTCCACCGAAGAATTGTCCAATGCTGTTACTTTGGTTGTTTATATTCTTGACTGGGTTGAAGAAAAGCCATGAAGCTGCCTCGTCTTCATCTTCTTCAAGTATAGTTTGATCATCATCTTGAGTCAAGAACTCAATCTTGGCTGCAACCCCTGTAGGCCCCATTACTAATCCACTGGGGTGAGTGGCTGAGGGAGTACCATAGAGCATGCCGGTAAAAGGCATAATTGGGACACGTTGGTGGCGCCGTGCCAACGGGTTGGCAGAGTGAATATCCGAGTCACAGGTTGTACATAGGGATGCAGCATCAGCCTTACATAGGAAGGCTGCTGGAGCACTTTCACAGGCCTCGCACACCCACATGCGCTCATGGAGCGAGGCTTCATGACTGGCTCTGTGGATGCGAGCGTCACAGCCAGTACAGAGGTAGGCCGAGTCAGCCCTGCAGTACACGGTGCAACCCGCTGATTGGCACGTGTCACAAATCCGGGACCAATGGTTGCTGGTGTTGCCACCATGTATTCCTCTACTATTTTCCTTCAACATTTCTGTTTAGTCACTCTGTTTTCCTATTGAAGCACACTATAACATTTTGAGGCCGGTCACTGGACCTGGGGGGTTCATCTTGCTGGAGAATTCATGGGACGACACGTGGCTGTATAATAGTGAGCAAGAAAAGTAGTTTGATAATTTTGTGGTAGGCAGAAGTCTTGGTAGGGCCTGAGTGGGACCGGAGACTAATCTCTTTTCAAAAACATCAACGTTCAGGTTCGAGAGTATCCAAGTGGTCATATTGCAATGGCATCAACATCAACAGTTTCTGACTCTTTAGAATGTCCATGCTTATGTACAAGTTTTGGCTTCTCCTAAAATGGGAAACCTGGACTGGGCCTTAACGAAAAAGAGGATGAATTTTAAGAATGATTAGCTTTTTTTCTCCAGTTTAGTCTTGCCGTGTGGACAATTAGACATCTAACTGTACACAAAGGAAATGGTAATATCTTCTTTTAGAGGCTCAAGGATTAGTACTATCCAAAAAAATGTACATGTAAAAAACTTTACCCTTCTGAACAAGGCTTGAGGGGGTATACTGCATGTGCTTTGTGGGGTTAGGAATGCAATCACCATCTCAAGTAATAAATTGCTGGAACTGCCCTAGAAAAGTCGTTTTTGGAATTTTTTTTCTTTTTTTTTTTTTGGGCTTTCTATGGATAAAACGAGGATTTTGAACTGCAGGACGTGGCTGCAGTTGAATCCATTAATTCATGAATCATAATACCCTAGCATGAAATTGAAAGGGAATGATGAGTTAGTCCTGGCCAATAGAATAGCTCCTGTGAAAATCATAAGAGGATTGGTATAAATTTGAGCCACGAATTGAGAGTTGAGACATGACTCAACAAATCCAAATTGCCATTCGGCCCATTCACATGTGAGTATGGTCCAGTGAACAGAAATCCATCCCATTTAACCCCCTTCCTAAGTGCTCAAATGAAATGCATAGACATGTACTGACTATCTTTATTTAAGTACATCTATTAGAATAATTAGTTTCGTAACATGTAGCATGCGGGAGCATATATCTCACACATTTTATCATCTTCAATCCAGCGTAAGATGAATTGGATATTATTGAGTTATGTCAAATAAAGCAAAGAAGATAATGCATATCAAACGTGTAATTAGTGTACGAGATCAATCTGTACAATTGAATTGCTGGAATTAAGGACAGCTAAATGAGCCTATAATTAAGGTAAACTTTCCTTAACACCCCCCCGCAAGCTGAGTGTCGGATTGGAACAGACGTGAAGCTTGGTGCGGAGAAATTCGAAGAGGGGTCGAGGAACACTCTTAGTGAAGAGATCAGCAACCTGCAGGTGGGAAGGAACGTACTGCGTTTGAAGTTTGCCAGCAACCACAAGCTCTCAAAGAAAATGATAATCTAGCTCAACATGCTTGGCCCGTTTGTGAGAAACGGGGTTAGAGCTCAAGAAAATGGCACTTTTGTTGTCACATAACAAGACTGGTTTCTTGGAGAGGGGGACGTGGAGATCCTGAAGAAGGTGCATAAGCCAGAGAAGTTCAGCTGCAGCGGTTGCAAGAGCACGATATTCAGACTCACAACTGGAATGGGAGACAGTAGGTTGCTTCTTGGCACTCCAAGAAACCAAATTGTTGCCTAGATAGATGGAGTAACCAGAGGTGGAGCGACGAGTGTCAGGACATCCCGCCCAATCAGCATCAGAGTAAGCAACTAGAGCACTGGAACCAGCAAAGGGCGAAAGGTGAGACCAAAATAAAGGGTGCCCTTGACATAGCGAAGGATGCGTTTGACAGCCAGAAAATGACCAGTAGTAGGAGCATGCAGAAATTGGCTGACAGAATTCACAGCATGAGCAATATCTGGGCGAGTGATGGTCAAGTATTGGAGGGCACCAACAAGTGATCTATAAAGAGTGGGATCCGAGAAAGGAGAACCGTCGCCCGTCAGATGCTGAGAGACAACCATGGGAGTGTGAACCGGCTTACTATCAAGCCATTGTGCCCTAGTAAGAATGTCCCGTGCATATTTCAGTTGACTGATAAAAAGACCATCAGGAGTGGAGGTTGCTTCCAGGCCAAGAAAATAACTGAGGGAACCCAAATCTTTGGTGGCAAACTCAGAATTGAGCTTGCGAGTGAAGCTGGCAAGAAGAGAAGAATTGTTGCCAGTAATGATAATATCATCAACATAAAGAAGCAAATAAATAGTGTCAGACTGCTGGTGGAAGACAAAGAGAGAAGTGTCAGCATGGCTGCAAGCAAAACCAAGTGCAACAAGAAAGGAACTGAAACGCTGAAACCAGACGCGAGGAGCTTGCTTGAGGCCATAAAGAGCTTTCTTCAATTGACAAACATGATCGGGGTACCGTGGATCAACATACCCAGGAGGTTGCTCCATATAGACATTTTCAGTGAGGTTTCCATTGAGAAAAGCATTCTTGACGTCTAGTTGACGAAGAGGCCATCTGTTGGTAACAGCAAGGGAAAGTACAACACGAACGGTAGTAGCCTTGATAACAGGACTAAATGTGTCAGTGTAGTCAAGTCCAGGTACCTGAGTATAACCTTTGGCAACAAGACGAGCTTTGAGACGCTCAATGGAGCCATCAGGTAGATATTTGGTTCGAAACACCCATTTGGAACCTACAATGTTGGTGTTGACAGGTCGAGGAACCAAGATCCAGGTGTGATTGTGTTGTATAGCACGAACTTCTTCATCCATAGCAGCAAGCCAGGCAGGATTCTTAGCAGCAGATTTAAATCCTTTGGGCTCAGTAGAAGCAAGTAGGTCAGAAAGAAGTCCAGATGGTGCCAAGATACTGAGATCCGCCAGATGACGAGTTCGAAAGATGCCGGCCTTAGCTCGTGTTATCATGGGATGAGAACCCAATGATGATGTTGGAGTGGATGGGAGAGCAGGAGCTGAACGATCAATGGCAGCCTCAACAGGAGGCAGTCTGGGATCCAACAACGGTGAAGGGGGACCTGCAAGAGAATGAGGAACCTGCAAAGACTCATCCACTGAGTTAGTACAAATAACACACGGGTTGGAACCGGATGGTGTAATCTGTAGAGAATGGTACATAGGGAAAGAGGGAGGTGGGTCGGTGGGACGGGGTTCAAGAAAATTGGAAATTTGGAGAGATGATATAGGTTGAGCTTGTGAGTGGAGATGAGAGGGAAAATGATTTTCATCAAATGGAGCATGACGGGTGATATATAGCCTAGAGGTAGTGGGGTCAAGACAACGAAACCCTTTATGTGAAGGACTGTAACCTAGAAAAATACAGGGAATGCTGCGAGGAGAAAATCTGTTAGGCATATAATCACGCAAATAAGGATAGACACGACAACCAAATGGATGAAAATTTTCATAATTTGGCGAGGAACCATAAAGAAGCTCGAAGGGGGACTTACCGTCAAGAAGTGGTGTGGGCAAACAGTTGATAATGTAAGCTGCAATGCTGAAGGCGTCAACCCAGAAGCGAGGGGAAAGATGAGAGTGAAAAAGAAGGGCCAAACCAGTCTCAGTCACGTGGCGATGTTTTCTTTCAGCACGACCATTTTGAGCAGGTGTGTATGGGCAAGACAGTTGGTGGTGAATACCTGAGGTGCTAAGATGTGCTTTGAAGCGATTGCTTGTAAATTCTGCACCACCATCACTTTGAAAAATTTTGATACGTGTAGAATGTTGATTTTCTACCAATTTTTGAAAGTGAATGAAGGTATCGTAAAAATCAGATTTTAATTTTAAAGGGTAAAGCCAAGTGAAGCGAGAGTGATCATCAATAAATAGGACATAATATAGAAAACCGGAATTGGATTTGACGGGTGAGGGGCCCCAAATGTCACAATGAATAAGCCCCAACACAAGAGGCGATCTATTTTCATTACGTGTATAAGGTAAGCGATGATTTTTGGCAATTTGACATGTACTACACAATGCAGGAGATGGCAATAAAGATGTAAGATAAAGATGACCTTTTTTATTCAAAAAAGAAATAATAGAGTGATTAACATGTCCAAGGTGAGCATGCCATAAATCATAAGAAGCATGAAGAGCTTTATTCTTAAGAACAGAAATAAAAGCGGAGTTTCCGCGCTCCAGCACATATAGGCCACCATCTCTTTTACCGGTTGCCACCACCCTTCCTGTTTGACGATTCTGGACAGTAAAACAATTTTTAGTAAATGTAACAGATAGAGGAAAATCAGAGGTTAATTTACTAATTGACATGAGATTTTTGGTTAAACGAGGAACGACTAAAACATCCAATAAATCAAGTGTAGGGGTAGGAGAGATGGTACCGGTGTGAGTGATGGGTAGGGAAGCACCATTCCCTACAATTACTTGATCCTTACCCGTATAGTTACTTGCTTGATCCAAGTGGGAAAGGTTTGGAGTCAGGTGGGCTGAAGCTCCTATGTCCAGATACCAATCAGTGGGCTCAGGCCCATTAAGAGAGCAAGAGGCGTTAAAAGCCTCAGCTAGATGGGCTGTGGTGCCCACACCATTTCTTCCCTGTGTGTACCTCTAGTCGCACTTATCAGCATAGTGGCCTTCTTGCCGGCAGATCTGGCAGCGAGGTGGACGGCGTCCCTGCCCAAAATTGGAACGGCCATTGCCGCGGTTTGAAGAGAAATTACGCCCCTATTGGTTGCGGTTTGGCTGCCTCGGATTTGGGCGATTGGGGCCTCGATTTGTGGCTGCAAAAGCGGCAGTTGGGGAACCATATGAGTCAAGAGACCGCTGGAAAATCTCGAAACTTTCAGCCTTGGAGACCAAATCAGTGAAGGAGGGCAGAGGCGTTTGAGCCATTTGAGCGGTGGAGAAACTTGTAAAATCCGAACCTAGTCCTCGGAGGAACCAATGAGCTTTGTCAGTGTCATCGACGGGTCTTCCGATAGCATGGAGTTGATCGCAAAGGGCTTTGAATGCTCGAGCATATTCTGTTATCGAGCAAGTCCCACGTTTCATCAGTTGAAGGTCGTCCTTGAGACGAATTTCTCTAGCTTTTGATCGATGACTGAAGGTGTTTTAGAGTGCTAGCCAGACCTCACGGGAGGTGGAGAGGCCTACAACCTCTGCCATGGCTTCTTCAGTGAGAGAGGAGAGTAGGAGACTCAATAAGAGTTGATCTGTGTTCTTCCACGCCAGGTGTTTGATGTTTGGCATCTTAGAGCCTTCAGGGTAAAAAAAGTGGAGGTGGCTGAAGGGTGCCATCAACATGGCCGAGTAGTTCTTGGCTTTCAAGTAAAGGAAGAAGCTGGCTCTTCCATAGGAGATAATTGGAGGATGATAATTTGATTGTTACCATGTGAATCATGGTATTGAAAGGGAGAAGGGTGGGTGAGGCGTTTTCAGAGGCCATTGAAGTAGAGGGATCGATGGAGGCTAGTCCGAGATGGCTCTGATACCATGAGAGGATTTGCAAAAGCCACACTCACAATGCAGTGAGTGATCTTCTATTTATATTCATAATTGAGATATTTACAAATCAAATAAAGGAAACTAGATCAATCTGTACAATTGAATTGCTGGAATTAAGGACAGCTAAATGAGCCTATAATTAAGGTAAAGTTTCCTTAACAGTGCTATATAGCATAGCTCGGCTAAAATAGTTTATGCTAATGACTTGTACAACTTTGTTAATGGGGAAAAATTATACAAGGTTCATTTCATTAATATAGAAGCTTGGTACTCAATTTGCCATTGGTACTGCGGTCATTATATTTTGGGAGATAGACGCTCAACAAACTTCGTGTACTTACGGTTAGAATGAGAATATATTATTCATTTAATATCCCTGTGGGACATCCGATAAAAATTGTAACGATATAAAGAAAATTAACATGGCCTCAAGCAAGGATGACACGGACAAAAAAAAAAAAAATTAAGCACAGAGCTTGAACTAAATAACTTAGAGCATCTCCAACAATGTTTTTCGTTGTAAAGATTATATTTTGAGAAGTTAAAAAATAAGTAGTACGAATCTTTAAACAAATTCAACAACACTATACATATATCTTTATTTTGTTTTGCCACATAAATAATTATAATCCAAAACATTTTCCCTTTTTTTTTTTTGTATGCTTCGTTTTTGAGAAGTGCATAAGATATTGTTAAACAATGTATGAAAAATTTTATATATTGGGATTGAGTTGACTTTCTATGTTTGGAGGGGTCGAATCTCGTCTTTATTTTAATTTTTACTTGTTGCACTCATTAAAAAACAGATCGATCATCTAAAATAAGGACTTTACTACTTGTACAATTTTCTATACACCTTTGTTAACAGATGTTGAAGCGACATGCATTTTGGCATTCAAATCAAAGGTTAAAATGATTTCACCTTATCATTTGTCAACAAATGTTTAAAACAGTTTATGTACAAATAGCTTAATTGTTAAAATAAAGAGTGAGAAATATGTCCACTAAATGTTCTTTAGCACTAGTCGTGTTAGAACACCAGTTTAAATGACCACACTTAATAAATACAGTTAAATGAATGCTTTGACTTTATATTTAAATGAGCATATTCTTTAATGACATCTAATTGTCCCTAAATTGGTGCTAAGTATTAAATAGCATTACTCATACACAATGCTCCAACGATTCATAGTACTCACCTTGACGCATTCAACTAAAAATCGTACAATTATAATAAAATTAATTCCAAAGACTAAAAATACGTTCATAGGCTGAAATTGTAATTGACATTTTTAAAGATTTCTACATATTAAATACTCCATTTATTTATGCCGGCGGACCGGCGGCTGCTTTCGAATGTTGAAATTATCCACGAATGAACTATTCAAATAAAGAAAATGTCGGTCATACTTTATCGTAAATTACAGTTAGAGCTAGAATTTTCTTTTTTTTTTTAAATCCTATTAGAAAAACAGGGCAAAGGACTCTATGGAAATTGGAATACTAAGAAAAGTAATTTTAATTTTTCTTTTGAAACAATTTCTTTTTTTCAAAAAAAAAAAAAAGTGATTAATAATGACTTATCGAGATTCCAAATCAAATTCAGCTTTCTTCACTTGAGGGAAAACATATTTATTTAAGGACTATGCTACTTGTACATAATTTCTTGTACATAAGGGTGTCCACCCTCTCACATGGGGTGGATCCCACATGAATAAAATTCTCTTTTTAATTATGCGGGGTCCACCCCATGTGAGAGGGTGGACACCCTTATGTACAAGAAATTATGTACAAGTAGCATAGTCCTTTTATTTTTGATTAAAAATTGGCGGGTTTGTTTGTTTGATATAAAATAAAATACAATTAAATAAATAATGTGAACCTAGTAGTCGGTGGTACCAATGAGCTTTGTCAGTGTCATCGACAGGTCTTCCGATAGCATGGAGTTGATCGCATAGTGCTTTGAATTCTCGAGCATATTCTGTTACCGAGCGAGTCCCACGTTTCATCAGTTGAAGGTCGTCCTTGAGACGAATTTCTCTAGCTTTTGATCGATGACTGAAGGTGTTTTCGAGTGCTAGCCAAACCTCACGGGAGGTGGAGAGGCCTACAACCTCTGCCATGGCTTCTTCAGTGAGAGAGGAGAGCAGGAGACTCAATAAGAGCTGATATGTGTTCTTCCACGCCAGGTGTTTGATGTTTGGCGTCTTAGAGCCTTCAGGGTAAAAAAGTGGAGGTGGCTGAAGGGTGCCAACAACATGGCCGAGTAGTTCATGGCTTTCAAGTAAAGGAAGAAGCTGGCTCTTCCATAGGAGATAATTGGAGGATGATAATTTGATTGTTACCATGTGAATCATGGTATTGAAAGGGAGAAGGGTGGGTGAGGCGTTTTTAGAGGCCATTGAAGTAGAGGGATCAATGGAGGCTAGTCCGAGATGGCTCTGATACCATGAGAGGATTTGCAAAAGCCACACTCACAATGCCGTGAGTGATCTTCTATTTATATTCATAATTGAGATATTTACAAATCAAATAAAGGAAACTAGATCAATTTGTACAATTGAATTGCTGGAATTAAGGACAGCTAAATGAGCCTATAATTAAGGTAAAGTTTCCTTAACAGATTAAACCAATTAAAAGCAAAAAATCACTTATTAATTGTTTTCAGATGATTAGAGTAATTAATTCAATTAATTTTTATGTTTAAGCAATCATATCAAAAGCAATAAATAGTAAATAGTACTAAATATGATCACGGGGGAAAATTCCTAATTGGATAAAAAAAGCCTTTTAGCAAACGTGCCAGTAAAATCCACCAGAAAAGTTAATTTAATATTAGTCCAAACATTGTTAAACCTTAGTTGATTCTGACCACGTAACTTTTAAATCACTAAAGAACTCCTTTGGTTTTGCACTCCTGCATTTATCATAACTTTTAACAATTTTTCTCTCTGCATGAATAAACAAGAACGAACCTTGTTCTCGAGCATCGGAACTTCAAGCACCTCTTTCCACAACTCTAGAACTCTGAAGGTTAATTAGTGAACGTAGAGTTTTGTTTGGTGTTTGATCAACGGATCTTTTTGTATTTTGTTCTGTGAGTTGATGCAAGAGATGTTGGAATATGTATTTGGCTTTCCAAGAGCAAACTATTGACTTACAACAAGACTCTACTAATGAAGAATCAATATATGAATATTGTGTTGAATAAAGGAATCAAATGAATGTGTTTTGGATCTTCAACAATGTGATCTCTAAGGCAATATAATGATTCAACATACTTTGAGACAGACCAATAGCCGTATATTTATAACAGTAGTGTTTAGGGTGAAAATAGATTCAAAATCAACATTAAAATCGAATTGGGGTTCTTCCCGGACGTCACTGCTACTCAAGCGCTAGGCCGACGCCAAGCGAGCGGTGGTCTGTTACTCGAACACCAGGCTCGTGCCAAGTAAGTGGCGACAACCCTATTTTAAAGCTCGAACACCAACAAGGTGGCCTCGAGTGATACTGAGTACGTTTCTTGCTCTACTTCTTGAAATCCGAATTTTAATCTTCTTTTTGTATTCCTTTAACTTCTTTATGGACTCTATCGACCGAAACTATTTTTATTATAATTAAGACTCAATAACTCATACTTTGACTTTAATTACAACCCGATAAACTTCTAATAAAATTCAACTTAATCAAGAGTTCGACTAAGGAAATTGCCAATTTGGTAATTGTATAATTTGGACGTGACACATGGTAGAGTATATAAATATTCATTGAATACAAAAAGGTCTATCAAAGCAGTTGCAAGTTGCAACTACTACTTCATCAGGTTCAAAGTATCCCAACACCAAGTGTCATATAGACTAACAAACTGGCTGGGCTGTTCAAATTCATTGAATCAAGTAAAAATCTGCACTAAAGAAAAGGCCTTAACAAATTTGTCAAAAGATCATGGTGACGAGTTTGACTAAACTAGATAACACACAAGTAAATATAGTATAATCAAAATAATTATAATGTAGTATCAATTTAGAATATTTTCCTAGTATTTAACTTAGGATGGTGACAGTGCTTTTACCAATTATTTATATTTATGTTGTCAATATATATTTATATTTCCCTACTATATTAAAAGAGTGAATTCGTCGAGTACTGTTCATTTTGAAGTATTTTCGTTAGCCCAAATTGCCCATATTCATCCTCTATTATTTACACCAACTGTCCCTTATCTGTTTTCCACTATTCACAAAGGGTTATGGATAATTTGGAAAGATCATTTTTTAATCAATTTATATGTCTACAATTGTTGACTTTGAATGTCGGGAAAAAAATTTCATTTGTTTCGCACTCTGCGGAGCGATGCTCCGCAAATGTGCGGAGCATTCAGAAATTATTATTATTTTTTGGTTAAATTTTTTATTAATACAGTGCAAACAATAATAATATACCATAAATTTCTATAAATAATATTAACCAAATTTACAAGCACTTATTAATAATTTAATTCAAAAACATTAATAAAAATTATAAAATCTCACAATCGTTTACAAATTATAAAACCTTACATTCGTTTACAAATTAGGGCCTTGTTTGGGAGGGATTTTGATTTTTCTATTTCCACTATTCACAAAGGGTTATGGATAATTTGGAAAGATCATTTTTTAATCAATTTATATGTCTACAATTGTTGACTTTGAATGTCGGGAAAAAAATTTCATTTGTTTCGCACTCTGCGGAGCGATGCTCCGCAAATGTGCGGAGCATTCAGAAATTATTATTATTTTTTGGTTAAATTTTTTATTAATACAGTGCAAACAATAATAATATACCATAAATTTCTATAAATAATATTAACCAAATTTACAAGAACTTATTAATAATTTAATTCAAAAACATTAATAAAAATTATAAAATCTCACAATCGTTTACAAATTATAAAACCTTACATTCGTTTACAAATTAGGGCCCTGTTTGGGAGAGATTTTGATTTTTCTACAGTTAATCAATTTTCATTTTCAACTACACATTCTTCAATAAAATAATATTTTCCATCACATCAATAATTTTTTCTTCTTTTTCAACCACACATTTCCCATCATATCACTATTCAAAATCAATTCTTCCCCAAAAAAATCCCTACCAAACTATTACTTATAATTGAATTTTCTTGATAGTCTTATATTGTTTACTTGGGAGGACATTAACATTGTTCAGAAGTAACTTCTGCTGATCTTCACCGGGTCAATGAATTCCATCGCGAGTTTCTTGGCTCATTCCTAGGAAGGTATGGATTTTTAGAACATTTTTGTCAAGAAATCTGCTTATTTTGTAGTATGCACAATCACTTATTTTCTTTAGTTTGGTGAATTTATTTTCTTATAGTAAAGAAAAGGCGAAGGACTCAATAATTTATTCGTACAAGAGATATATCAATGGTTTTGCTATTGTCCTTGAAGAGGAAGATGCATCAAAAATAGCAAGTATGACAATACATATTTTTTTACATTTATTCATATGTTTCCTATGTCCTAGGTTTATAGCATGTTTGGTAATAAGGGAAAAAAATGTTAAAAATCTCGTTCACCATAGTGTCTAATACAACATGTTTATTTTGTACTAAAACATATTTTTTTTCATTGAAGAGCATTCAGATGTAGTATTTGTTCTCTTGGATCAAGGAAGAAATTTACACACAACACATTCATGTGAATTTCTTATGTTGGAAAGAAATTCTTAACATTCGAAACGCTAATATTACCTTAAAAATAACACAACTCGTGCAATGCACAGGGCAAAAACTAGTAAGAATAAAAGCAACATGATGAAAATATTGCACCTTGGGCCTGTTTAAGAATTGTTGAATGGGTTGGAAAGTAATCGAACTTTGGATTTTGCATCTAGGGCTTTATTGGGCCTTCTGAGCACTTGTTTTATTTGATTATTCGAGAATGCTAGCCTTTCTTCAGCTCTCATTTTCAATTACAAATTCTTATAATGAATATATATTTTTATATTTTTTCATAATTTTTTCTACTTTTAATCACACATTAAAAATATATTTATTTATTTTTTCAAAAAATCATTTCTTAAAATATCAAGTAAACGCTTAAGTATATTGTGGATCACAATTTTAGGATAACAGGTCGAGATGGCCCTCCCTGTCATTGCCTCGTCTAGGGTTTTCGTAAGGCGAGGAAGGACGGGAATTATATATAAAGTAGTTGCTAGAATCACAAGATCTATTTGGACAAATTATTAGCTTGATTCATCACATTCCACTTTCTTAATTACTATAAAAATTAGATAAATAGTTGTTTTATTGAGTAAATCAATATAATATTGCATCGACTTATTGGTTTTACTTTTTAGCCAAACCGTTTATAGTAGAAAATTAATTTTATAATTCCTTCCGAAAATTAGCCGTAAGACAAAAATGTATAACCTAAAAATGATGATTTTTACATCCAACAAAACTTATATTACACTCAAAAGCTTATCATATTGGCCATATGTCTCCAAACAAGTAGCTAATTCAAACGTAATCCTCCAAAGAACTTAACCCTATACACTTAAGAAATTAAACAAAAATAAATAAAAAATCAAGCCCTTTGTAGCCTTTGCTACGAACTTCCCCTTTGAGAAATTTAACTTTGTGGTCTGTGTTTAAGTAGCTTAACGTGTGTAGTTGATTCACCTCGGACCAGAGAGTTCTATGGCTTGTACAAGCAATGAAGAATCATCAGTTAAGTCCGAAAATCGTTCTGATGAGGAAAGTTCTCGGGTTTTATACTTGTTTGTGTCTAATCTTTGAGAAACTTCCCATCTTTCTGCAAGGCCATCTCCTTCTAGCATACGTACAACTTCAGACATTTTAGGCCTATGTCTTGGAACATATTGTGTGCATAAAAGTGCCACTTGAACCATTTCCTCTAGCTCAATCCTATCATAGTTGTTCTTCAAATCTTTATCGACAAACGTGTCAAGTTTCTTCTCTTGATGAAGCTTCTTCACCTGATGCATATTTCAGGCATCCTTAAAAGTAAGAAAAACACGAGAATGGAATCGAATTTGTAAAGAGAATAGAAGGTTGTGTTCTCACCCATTCAAGCATTGCGCCTTTTTGGTTAGCTGCTTTGCCAAATTCTAGTGCTCTTTGTCCAGTGATCAATTCAAGTAGAAGGATCCCAAATCCGAATACGTCTGTCTTCTCAGAGGACTGGCCAGTGGAGAGATATTCTGGGGCTATATGCCCCACTGTGCCACGTACAGCGGTAGAAACGTGTGAATCTTGACGATCCATAAGCTTTGCTAGCCCAAAATCTCCGACTACTGCTTCACAGTAGTCATCAAGGAGTATATTTGCAGCCTTCACGTCTCTGTGAATTATCTTAGGATCACATTGCTCGTGGAGATATAACAGTCCCCGAGCAGCACCTAAGGCTATTCCTTTTCTTGTGCCCCAGTCTAGGACTGGTTTTGCTGTTCAAGTTAAATGGAATGCCTAATCAGTATTATATTGCGTTGATAATGTTCAGTACTATCTAATGCTCTTGCAATTAAAGATTCTGAAAATGCGACTGAGTAATGATAAGTCCTAGAATACGTGTACCTTTGAGACGAGAAGCAACACTTCCATTGGACATGTAAGGGTAAACCAATAGCTTTTCTGTTGGGGTCATACAGAATCCATATAGCCTAAGGAGGTTCCGATGAACAGCTAGGCTGATCATCTCGACTTCTGTCTGGAATTGTCTCTCTCCTCCAATGGCGCTACCATCTTTCAGCCTTTTTACAGCCACAGCAGTTCCATCTCGTAAATACCCCTTGTAGACATGTCCAAATCCACCTTTTCCCAAAATGTTTTTACCGCTAAAGTTGTTGGTTGCCGTCTGAAGTTCCCTAAACTGGAACATCCTTAAATTTCCAAGTGAAACTGCTTCGTGTTGTTCATCTGTAATTTTGAAGTAATGGGTAGTTAAAGAAAAGGAAAATTAGAGAAATCATAGTTAAAAGAGATGAACTAGCCAAATAAACCTTTAACATCGAAGAAATTCTGTTTTTTATGTCTGTGCCTTGTCCACAGAAACAGCCCTATTCCTAGGATAAGTAAACAGATGCAAGCGAGGCTTGAAACGAGTGCAAGAGTTAGCTTGTGACCTTTCGATTTCCCAGAATGAAGAACATCTATAGGAAGCATGGAAATTAACGTAATGTTAAACAATTAGTTGAAGGTGGACATTAATTATCAATAGAAGTTCGAAGAAACAAAATTTAGAAGAAATCATTTGAGGTTATTTCATACTTCCTGAAGTGTTCAAGGTCATTGACATAGGCATCAATGTTATTCCTGCACACTCGGGCTCCAACCCTGCAGCACATATTGAAGGATTTCCAACAATGCTGCAATGAAATTTAAACAAAAGATGTTCTCAGCAATCTTAAGTTTCTTTAGGAAACACGTCTAGATTTGGGAAGTAGCTTACTTGAATGTCTTACAAGGAAAATGAGGTACAGGGCCGCTCAAGTTATTGTACGACAAATCTCTGAATAAAGCAAACACAACAACTTTCAATATATTATTTGTACAAAGAATGTCGGTAGTTGATTAAGAGGCAATAGAGAATTACACAAGAGAAAGTTGTGTCATGTTGGCTAATGCCATTGGAATCTTTCCAGTTAGACTGTTATTGTTGAGCCTCCTAATGCAGTGAAAATACCCATGTGAGACCAACGTAGGAATATATCCATATGAACAAATTTTCAGTGAAATCCAATTCCAAGTCCCTGATTCTGCAGTTCAAAAAATAGTTCTTACATGTATTGAAGGCTGTTCAGTTGGTCCAAAGGAGGAATTCTACCGGTCAGGTAATTATTCGAAAGATCAAGTGTTTTAAGCTTTGAAAGCCTTCCTAGCTCTGTTGGGATTGGTCCCGTAATGTTATTGTTCTGCAAAAGTCTGTCAAAACCTCGTACAAGTTACATAAAGGGGAAAAAAAAAATCAAATTACGGAACGCCTTAACGATTTATCTACATTTTCTACTTACATAACTTGAAGATTCGTCAAATTTCCTATGCTTGGAGAAAGAATTCCAGATAAACTTTGACTAGGAGATCCTCTGCACAACATAATCTATTAACTACATAAGCCTCTTGTATTTTTCCCTAAAATCCGATTTGTGGGATTCTGTATAACATATTACAGTATAAAAGGAAAAGGTTTTGCTTAGGCAGAAGACTTACAGGCCAATAACAAGGCTATCAGAAGAACAAGTGACCATAGTCCAGCTACAGGGATCCACAGCATCCCCATCCCAATTATCAAGAACCCCACGAGGATCCTTCAAACCAGCTCTTATGCCCATTAAAGCTTGCACTGATTACAAAACACCAATATCTCAAGCACCCATTCTTGAATACCCGCTATGGTAGAATATTCATGTAGGACGTTCTCAGAGTTTACACGCGTGATTCTGAAGTTAATAAGATTGTATAAAATACGAAATCAGTTTTACCTTCAAAGTTTACACCTTTTGGAGAGAGCAAACCAAATGCAGAGCTCCAACAGCAAAGAAATGTGATAATGCTGAAGGCAGATTCTCTTCCTCCTTCCATTTTCATTGATATCAAGAAGTACGGCACAAAATCTTGATTATTGCTAGTGATGAAACTAATCTGTGGACAAGTTTTTCAATGAATTTTCTCTAATGTAATAATACCCAGATGAAAACTTCATTCGGGTTTTCTATCCCTAAAACTCATTTTTCTAGTCTGCGAGTCCAAGAAAAATTATTGAGTCCTTTGTGTTGTATAAAGAGAAGTAATATACCTGTCGCGGGCAAGAGCTTATCAAAGAAAGAATTTAACAGAACATGGACAAAATCCAAATGGTAGAAAAGTAAGGAATTATCCTAGGAGTAGATTTGTGTGAAATCATGTGCCGTTTTGAAATACCTTGTCTAAATATTTAAACTCTTGTAACAAGTATACGTTTATTAGTTTTCGATTTGGGTTTTTAACACACTCCTTTATGTGCAGGTCGAATTCGATTTTATGTAAAGCCTTAACATGTGTATAAACCAAAAATCTTAATGGGGCCAGTTGGCGGGTGCTGGCTATCTAGTGGCTTGGAAATATGTAGATTGGAATACAGAATAATCTTGCCAGTATCTCTGCGAACTTTATATAAGGGATAATTGCAGCAAAATCCCCAAACTTTTGAAATATTAGCAGACTTTTTTCAAACATTTGATTTGTTGCACCCGTCACCCTTAACCTTTCCAAATGTTGTAAATGAAACCCTTTTGGACAGTTTCCATCAACAATTCTGTCAATTGACCAAAAATTTAACTTTGACCATATATTTAATATTTTAAAAATGGGTAAAGAGTAACTTTTTATTTATTACATTAAATAAATAAATTAAAAAATAAAAAAACACACCGATCGAGTCTTTATCTTTTTTAAACCCAAAGACGATGCCACTAGTGGAGAAACTGACACCCGTGTAGGACTTGTTGCCGCCTCCTCGGATTTCTTAAACTTGGAAGAAGAACCCAATAATCATGAACTGGGCCTACTTAAATTTTGAGTTTCTTTGTATTTTGAATTTTTTTTTTCGTTTTTACTGTTGGTGGTGGGTATGGAGGTAGGAGTGGTGGCTACATGAGATTTATCTTTGAACAATTATTTAAGTTTCTTTTTAGGAAAAAAAGAAGGATAAAGATGGTGTTTAAGGGGAGATTTTTCTCTTTCAAAAAATCTGACACTTCAAGCCGCGATGGATCCTCCAACAGTCCTCTTCGAACTATCAGTTCACACTCCAGTTCCTCGATTGGATCTGATAAAAAGAAACCTAAATTATTGCTACACATGAAAATTTATTGTTATTAAGTATTTTCCTCTTAATATTTTCTTGATTTTGAACTACATCGGTGTGGATTTTGGGTTTGAGGTGGAGGTGGAGGTGGAGGTGGGGTGGGGTAAGGGTTGAGAGGAAGGAGACGATTGTGTGCGTGTATTTTTTTTAAATTTAATTATTTAATGTGATACATAGAAAGTTGCTCTTTTACCTCTTTTTAAAATATTAAAAATGTGATCAAAGTTAAATTTTTTGTCAACTGACGAATTGTGGATGAAAACTGTTCAAAATGGTTTCACCTGCAACATTTAGAAAAGTTAGGGGTGACTGCTACAACAAATCAAATATTTGAAAAAAGTTTGTTAATGTTTTAAAGTTTTGGAGCTTTTGCTGCAATTATCCCTTTATATAATGGCATTTGTTTAGCTTTGAACGAAAAATTGGCAGATTTATTTATAAGTGCGTTTATATGTATACATGTTGAGTATAATAAACGGAAGAAAGGGGAACCCAACATTCCCTGTGTTTAGCCATTCAATTACGTTCCCACATGCTTTAATTTAAAAGAACAATTTGGGAATCTCAAGGTTAGTGGGTGGAGATTAATGATGTTTTTGGTCACAATCCCATAAACAAGATCATGATGAAGGATCTTTGTTGCGTGCATATATATAATCAAGTAGATGAATAGACTACTACTTTATATCCTCGTAAAATTAAGAGTTTTATAAACAGATATAAAAATATTTAAGAAAAATGACTTCTTATATCTAAAAAAATTTATGTATCATCGACGTCGTCATCTCCAAATGCAAATTGTGCCCGCACCCTTTTAATCATTATTTTACGGGTTTTGCTACATGTACATTAAGGTTTATACCATTTTTTTTCATCGGCCAATGATGAAATGTCATTTGAACCCTAATATGCATGTAGAATAATTTTTATTTTACGGCTATGGTTTAGGCAATAGGGAAAGATGGATAATGTTTTTATAATATGGTGGTGGAGCGGTTGAATGATTGAATAGAATGTGTAGAGTAGTGACATGCAATATATTCTTTACACACAAATGCACATTCATCATTTTGTGCAGAAATTGCCACTTAGCTAAACAGTCATTTGAAAATTTGTAACTGAAAAGAGGAACACTTTTGAAAAGAAAGCTGCCACCCCACCCTCATATGGTCCTTTCTCTTTTTTCTATGTTATATATATGAAATATATTTTGCTTATAATAATTCAGCCATAAACTTTTTCTTTCTTTTTATTTTTTATTTCCATTTTTTGTTTTCTGGATGGGTTTGGGTGTGGAAGCTAAGAATGTGTAATATTTTGGTTTGTTACCAAGCTCAAGACTACTTATCAAGGATTTGATTGAAAACATAAATAGATTTCGCTCGGATGGAGTTTATCGTTGCTTTTCTTAATTTTGATTGAAGTTGATTAACCTAATGGATTTTTATTTTCAGAAATCAGATTTTAAATTATTCCGATTGCTCGAATTAGTTTTTCGAATAAAATTTTATGAGTCAAACAATCTTTGAACATGTCCTAGTTTGATTGTTTTGTAACTTGAAAACTAGGCAACATCTTTTCGGTGGTCGGGCGGGCCGCGGTGGGCCATTGTATCACGAATACCCTTTGTTATTTTTTTTATTTTTGAGATAGACATATACATTTATTTATTTTCTTTTTACTGTTTTTTCAAAAGAACTAAAACATAAAAATACATTACTAGTGATTAGGGATGTCAAAATGGATCGTGAACTCGGACGACCCGTGATTCGGCTCGGGAAAAACTCGAGTCGAGCCGGCTCGTGGCTCGGGCCAAGCCCCATTTTGGAGCATCAGCTTGAGCCCGAGCATGAGCTAGCCCGTGGGCCCGTGTCACATACCATTTTGGCCTGTTGAGCCGAGTTTTATGAAATAAAAAAAATTAAACAATAGGTTTTAAATCTACGCCCGTATAAATTGCACAAATTTTAAATTCTTTAGAAAAAAAGATTTTTCACAAAAAAAAAAACGAGCCGACTCAGCTCAGACTTGACTCGGCCGGCTAAGGCCCGAACCAGAAGCTCGAGTTGAGCTTTCATTTTTTGGCCGAGCTTTTGTTCGGCTCATGCCAAAAAAAGCCCGAACCATTTTTGTTCGAGTCGAACCCCAGCTTCAAGTTTCAACTCATGGCTCAGTTCAACTCGACTTGTTAACACCCTTACTAGTGATTGATGACAAATTGTTAGAGTTAGTTTCATGGGAAATATAAGTTGAGCTACCGAATGTAAAGCTCAAGACGTACCATGTCGTTTCATTGCAGCCTACTTGGATTGAGGGCATGTTGTTGGAGTTAGTTTCATGCGGATCATAAGTTGAGCTACCTAGTATCATACGTCTCATTGCAACCTGCTTGGATTGACAACGGGGTGGTTGAAGTTAGGTTGATGTGGGTCATAAGTTGAGCTATCCAATATCAAACATTGAACATATCAAGCCATCATATTGCAACCTACTTGAATTGAGGATGAGTTGTTGGATTTAGGTTCATGCAGATTGTAATTAAATTATTCAATATCAAGCTCTGAACATATCAAGCCATCTAGACAGTCGATTCAGAGTTATACACCCCTAGAGGAGGATGGATCGATAGAACTCAACATAACCTATTGTCCAAACACAGCCTAACCACCAAAAGGAGAAATTGACCAAACAGAAGAAAGAACAGAATGCTTTTATATATAAAATGACAAAAATGTCCAGTAAATAGTCCTAATAGATTGAATCCAGCTGGGCATAATTGTCTCTTTCCACTCTCCCCCCGCACACAAAGTCCACAAAGGGTCATTCCTTTTGGTGGATTGCTATGGACCATGTGCTGCAAAACCAGTAGATCAAAGGTATGGTTTCATATTTGTGGGCATTCTACTGTCATTTCTTTTTCAGTTTTCTATGAAAGCGGGGTCTAATATGTTAGATTTTTTTAAATTCACTATTATTTAAATATTTCTTTTTACTTAAATTCGTTAAAGAAAATAAATTTACAAAACATGTAATAGTATATCACTATTGGCACGTTAAGTACAGATGATTGGATAGTACTTGACTAAATTAATAAAAAAATTGTAAAATCTTGTTGATTACATTGTCCAATCTTCTTCAGTATCGTGTATCAAGTAGCTTAATTATGTACAAAACAAGTGCTCGAATTGACCCACATCAACTGACAAAACTCACAAAACCTTGTTCTTATCAAATAATCCATCAACTTCCGACAAAATAATTACTTTAGTTATCACCCATCTGAAAATTTATTGGAAATTCGACCACATTGACCATGACTACTCTTTGATTCAAAAGTAGCTTTATCAATTTGATTGAAACCAAATTATGACTAATTATAATTAATATGCTTCTTGTTAATTCCTAGTCCAAATTCTTGACTCAAAGTTGCTTTTGTTAATTCCTAGTCCACATTTCATTAAAATTTCGACTTTCACCAAATCGACTAGGTTATCGAGTGAAGATAAAAACCTAGTAGACATCCACCGCCACCATCCAAAAACACCAACAACCGAAACAAGAAAATAATGCAAAAAATAAGAACCCATTTGAATTAAATTTTTGTTTCTCGAGTATATGCTGCAACGAAGACTCCCGGGCTAATCATCACAAGTTGATTGCATTCTGTCAATTTTGACTGTAATAACTAAGATTTTCGATACTTGTTCTAAGTAGAAAAAAAATACCTTAAATGGACTGTATAGTCATGTTCATAACGTTTTGCTCGTGGACATGTCTCTTTCTGTCCAAACAAAATACAAATGGCCTGAAACCTGTAAAGCTGATTTCATCTTTAGTCCATTTTATGTAGACAGGTGGTTAATAGGGACCATGATGAAATTGGCCAGAACTCGGATTGATGGGTCATTTTCTGGACTATACTAAATCAATAAACATCCAAACATGACTGTGAATGCTAAATTGAATATACGGGTCCTTTTACTAGAGAAAGAAACACGAGAAATGAGCACGTCGATTCACGTTTGAGTTTACCATTTATGAAATACGAAGTCGAAGTACTGGTGTCAAACGGGTTGTCCAGAATGTGTTAGGAAGTTAAAACATATCAAAATCAAAGCCTAAGGGGTTCCATCACGTGTTAAACGATGATAACAAAATGAGGTTGCGACGCTATCTTGTATGAGAATGCTTAAATTATAATTTAAGCAGTTCGTCTTATAGAAAGTCTACATCGTACATAGCTCGTTCAAGCGCTTTCTAGGGCAGCTCAATTCTCTTATGCATCCGTCCAATGCACTGGGCTCAGCTCATGGATGTGCAATTGTCCATCAAATGTATGACTGAAAAGAGTGTTTAATCAATTTAAATTGCAAATTAAACTTTTATCAAATATGTACTAGTACTAGTTTTGAATGAGCAGTTTTTAAGAATTTGGGCTCATTTAGGTCGATCTATCGAAGCCCAATTAGACCACCTGCAGTCTAGTACAACTACGATTCAACTTGGCCCATCCCTCATCTTTCTTCTTTGGCCCACTCTCAACGAGCTGTATGATAAGTGAGAGTCAGTGTAAACAAAAATTGAAAAATACATAATTTTATGTGAACTAGCTTGTGTATAATGAAAATGTTTTCTAGTCAGATAGTGTGTTGCACCACTAGAATTCTTCTCACTCTCTTCATATACTTCACACGGAGAGTTGGCTTGACATGACCGTTGGTTTGGTGACTATGGTGCTAATGATTTGTGTCATACAGGTTTGGCAGGAACGTGATTAAAGATCTTTTGACCACATGGTCCTAGCGATATTTGAGTCGGCGAGAGGGAATGGAAAAATATAATCTTTCAGACAAGAAAGTCGGTGTAGAAAATTCATTTTCTTGGATCGAAAGAGTAATGGTTTTCATCTTGTTTGTCAAACAAGGGAGGAGACAACGAAAAATGAAACATGGACATAACTTTTCGGCTTTACTTTTTCTTTTTATATTCATTTATTGGTTGCTAATTTGACGTGGAGGATAAATTTATCTTTTCATGATAAATCGTTATTTTAAATGAAAAAACACTAGTCGCTAATTTTACCTAATAGAGAAACACTAAGAGATAGAAGTATATCGAGAAACAATGCACATCTTCTTGTGCAAACATTAAATTTATTATAAACAACCACAAAAAAGCTCACTTGGTTCTAAAAGAATAAATATATTTATTGCATCAGAGCGAGAACCTTACGACAGACTCTTCCTTACCAAGGGGAAAAAAAAAAAGGACAAAAATTTGAAGCAGATTTGATAACAATAAAACTCGAGTTATTCATGGAACCAAGAAAGACCCACGGGAGGGAGCTTTATTTTTTCATGCCAGTTGCATCTTTAACCGAGTCAGCTGCACCTTGTGCCTTGGCTTGCATTTGTTGTCCAGCCTAGTTAACACGCAATACAAAAAAAAAAAGATAATCGTACTTATTCACATATAATATTCGTACGCTATTTGAAATAGAGTTTTGCTATTCGTCCCGTCGCTCTAGCAAAACCCTTTGAAATATTAGATGCAGGACGCAAAGTACCTCTTGTACGGACTCCTTAGCGGATTGTGCAGCATTGCTGGCCTTTTCCATCATTTGGCTACCTTTTTCCTGATATATAATAGAAATAGAATCATTGTCGATTTGTGGATTTCAAAACGAAAAACTCATGTACTTACCTGAGCCTGGCCCTTGGCCTGGCCAGCTTGGTAACTAAGGTTCTGGGAATTATCCATGTTCTGATAATAGAATTGAGTAAATCGTCGAATACACACAATTAGAAGAAGGAAATAATTGCTGGGTGAATTTCATTGCTTGCAGGTTTCTGTATTTATAGAATTTGAACCCAATGCATGTTTGCCACGTGTAATACCATTAGGTAAAAAAATTCCTCATTGGAAGGGAAGATCACATTCATGGCCTTGTGACTAGGAAGATTTGAAAAAATCAACCTCGAGTAGCTAAAATTACTCTTGCTGTTAGTTACAATCTAACCTTTATTTGGTCCGTCCCCTCCAAGACAAGGTCGTGTTTGCTCTCCATGCATGCAAACACGCTATCCCTTTCAATTTCAGGTTTTTTTTTTTCCAAAAATGTTAATATTTTCCCCCATCTTTGATCAAACCCAAAGAGCACCGTACTGTAAGTTAAACGTTTCTGTGTTCGTCCTTAGTCCAAGGATAGGATTAGTATCTTGGATAATGCTAGATGTACATAAATATCTACATAAGGGTGTCCATAATGCTGATGTGGCAATCATCCGGTCATTGATGTGTAAGTATTAGATTTGAATTAAAAGTGAGATCATATGCCACATTAACATTATGGACACCCTTATGTAGATGTTTATGTACCTCTAGGCTCTAGCATTATCCTTAGTATCTTTGGTCCATGAAGTGGGGTTTTTTTCTTCTTTCTTTGCTCCTTCAAATTTGAAATATATGTGGGCATCCCTTTATATATGATCTATTAGTTTATGAACCCACAGATTTGTCAATGTTGAATTGTACCATTTAACTTACATTTTCCCGAGCAATTACGGGCACATGTGCTTTAGGGTTCCCTATAAGTTTTGAGGTCATTTAGTTTATATAACAATGAACCGAACAAAGTGGAGAAAACAAGATTCATATAGCTGGCTGCAAATATAAATGGATCTAGGATTAGTTTTTTGTCGTTGTTCCAAGGAACAAAAATGGGTGCATTTGTGATTTTAAAGATTAATTTTTTGTGCGAATGGTAGCACGGATTGTTGATAATCAACACTTGAATTTGTTGGTTAAGATTAAAGTGTAAATATCAATTACCAAGAACAAAATTTAGTTGCAAAGGAAAATGTTTCCAACTTGTGATGATGTTTAGGGGTAATTGAGAGAAGTAGTACCCGACAATCGTGCTATGTTAAGTTACAAGGTATGTTAGATACCATGACAACTCACAAGCATAAGAATATAAGTTAATAGATCAGAACATAGTCATGGTTAGATAATGATGATCATGGATATTGCATTCAAAAGTTAACCGATTAAGCCCATGTTTCTCTCCCCTTGAAAACAAGAATCTTTAATTCTCATACTCAATTTCAACGACAAATTTATATAATAAAGTATTTTGCAAGTAAATCCAAAATTCTTCCCTACAATTTAACCACACATTCTTCAAAAAATCATCATTCAAAACTTCATTTAAAAAAAATAATAATAATGGCCATCAAACATGGGCTAAATGTGGATAATGTTTTCGTGTTAGAATTTTGGTTTGTGGGGTGAATGTTGGGTGGACAGGACAACCTGATGGAAGAAAAGGGTGGGGGCTTTAGTGCTTCTAAAAAATCATTAGTTCTTCAGAGTTAACATTGATTCTCTTTTGGGAGTCATTTATGCAGTGTTCAATTCACGGTAAATTCTCACTTGTTAAGGATGCATTGAGGATCACTTATTATGAATTTAGTTGCTATTGAGCAATCAGCATGTTTTTTTACATAATTTCCTTAAAACAAAGATTTTATCCTAGCTATGTGGTCATAGATCACATGGCTGCACACTTTTTAATGTGTTGTGTTGCTTAAGTATACATTTTTGGGATTCCCAAAAATAAAATGGATTCTTCATGATCAAAATTTTGATCACATCCACACACTTGCATGGCTTCTGGTTTGTTTACATTTTTTTGCCTGAACTTCTTAAGATGCATTACATGGTGAAAATGATAAGGGGATGCATAAATCTGTTTAAATGGTGATGGAAATTGTGATTTTGGTGTCAACACTAACCAAGTATACAAGCTCTGAAATAAGCAACCAAATGACAATGTTTCACTTTGCAAATTAACATTTATTTATCAATATCAAGTTTTGATGGTGCTATTTGGGTAATGAATGATATTTGTACTTACTTGTAGGTAATTCAAAGAAGGCTAGTAAAATGAAAAAAGAAGGATCAGTTATTGGTAAACCAATCATCCCAGGAGAATTCATCAGAAAAGACTAAAAGCATTCAGCTTCTTGTTTTTTAATAGCATTTTTCAATTCAACTACTCATGGAATGTGTTCTTTTCAGAGAATATGATGCTGCAGAACAAATTCAAGCAGGATAAAAAGCGTGATCTCCATTAAAGCATGTTTAACCGAGCTTAAAAGCACAGTTTCTGAGAAGCGTCAATGTTATTTTTTAAATTTATTGACATATTTTAAACTTCCCCTAAAGAAAGAATTATTTATTATAGAATAGACTTATTTTACAGGTTCAGGACCAAATTTACAATGTGTGTTGGCAACAAACATTTCAATATGATTTCAAGCATGCATCAGAGAATAATATACTGAGCAAATATAAAACGGGCAAAAACTGGAAATAGGAATGAGTAAACAGTGTCAATATTACATCTCAGCTTTCTGAAAATTTATCACGCACATCAGGACCATATACACAGTCAACTGATTTTATTGAAAAAAAACTAAACTATTTTATTGATGCTCCAACACTTGAAGACGCCACACACTATAAAGACACTACTACTTTGTCGAGAAAACCAGTAAACGATGATAAATCACCGTGTTCATAATTATTTCTTCTCGACTTTCTTGTCCTGGTTCTCGTCCCAAACGAATTGCAGAATTGACCTTGGAGAACCGCAGTTTTCAGCACTGGTATAGCTGCTGTAGTTAACAGATCCTCCAAGACCGACAACTTCAAAGCTCCTTTCTCCACAAACATATCCATTTAAATTAAGTGCAAAGTCCAGATCAAGGTCCTTCCCAGCAAAATAAGAATGCAAAGCTACAGAAAACTTGGCCGGTTGGAAGCAAGCCAGTACCCTCTCGAGCAGGAGGGACAAATCAACCACTTTGAAATCGTATCCAACTGCTTCAAAACTTGCATAACTGAAGCCATCCTCTGGAGTCACATGAATTGTAGAGATTGCAGCACCTTCAACAGCATTCATGGAGTACCCACAGGGATCAAAATCAAAATCACATATCTCAGAATCCGGGAGAATTTTCCTGATGCCGGAAGCTTCAGTCATGACAGCTGCAGAGCTTGATTGAGTCTTGTAAAATACAGAGGCCTTCTTCTGGTTCAAATTGGTCATGCACATTTCTAGGGTGTACACCGGACCCAGATCATCGGTCGGGGTAGCTGATGCACAGTAGACATGCCATTTCTGATCTTTATCAGCACCACCCATCACATAGGCCTTGCTGCTCAGCCCATGTTTGCCAAAATAGACGTCTAAAGCAGCTACTTCTTCAGAAAAGCTACGATGTGGAAATGGCTGAGCCCCGGGAAATATGAAACTTCCACGGGTGTATCTAACAGAATTCACAGTGAGTCTGAGAATATCCGCAAGCTTGAGGATGGGTGGGATTGAAAGTAGCAGTTTTGTAGTACCACAAGTTTTAATTATTATCTTGTATGGGTACACAAAGAGACTAGACTCTGATAGGACATATGAATCGACTTCATCATTAGACAACGAAGACACAATCGTGCATTGAGCTGGGTCTAGAATTTCGTCCAATTGAGATTTGGCCAAAGATCGGAGGCCACGACCTCCAGGGTCAGAAAATATTCCAGGTTCGTAAAAAGAAATCTCGAGCCTCTTTTCGTAACCTTCAAATCCAATTGCAGAAACTGGCAAGGCCATTTTGTCTTAGACGAAAGGAACAACGTGGAAAGCAACAACAAGGACAAGGAAATAAGAAATTAAACAAAGACAGTAGCTGAATTTTAATGTAGACACTGTTCCCGGAACCACCTCTGGTGGTTATTGCACAACCCGACAGATATCAGGATGGCTTCCGCACGCACTGTAGATAAGGAAAGCTCAATTAAAAAAATGGCAATTCCATGATGATCTAAGAAAATTAAAAATCAGAAGAACAGAAGAAATCAAACTCACGTTAGAGTATGCAGCAGATTTGAATTTCTTGATTCCTCCGTGTGGTCGAACGTCTTCAATGCTGTATCCAAGTGGAGCTTCGTAGAATAAGGATTTACTACTACTACTACTACTAGACTTCTTCTTCCCACCTTTTGATTCCATTAGATCATTCGGTTTTAGCTGTTAAAACAATCAAGACAAGTATCAAAACCAGATGGGAACATCAATTTAACTTATTAAGAGAAAAAACTGTGATAGGCATGCATAGCAGACAAAGTCAGAAACTAGATGAGCTCTACAATAATGCTGATAAAAAGCCTGGAAACTATCATCAGCGTTTTACAATTGTCTAATGATTGCAGCAGAGATAAAATAGGAATGAAGGGTAAGTAAGAAATTAAACATTAAGAGAATAGTAATGTGAAAAAAAGAGAGGAATTATAGAAAAATTCGAGGACGATGGTTATAAGGTGAATAAACACGCTAAAATGACAAACAGGACATGATACACTAATATTGCACACACATTTTTTCCCATCTTCTACCAATAAAACATAATTGAACTTATAACTGCAATGCAAAATTTCTAGATTCACATAAAAAGAAACCTCTAAACCCCACATATAAATCTAAGACAGGATTCACTATTTCTTCTGTTGAAAACACTAAGAGAAAAACTACAGTAAAATAATATCAGTTTTAAATAAACATATCAATTTTTAAATTTTAATGATCGGTTGTCTAATGAATGGACAATGCAAAAGCCAAAATTCATCCACGAACATATAGATCTCTGTGGGTATGGTTCATATAATATTTATTGGGTCCCACTCGTCTAATAAAAGTCAACAATAATGACTATATTTTCAATTTTAATCCGATTTTAATCCCTCCCATACAAGGCCTAAAATCTTCCTTCTTTCAGAAAGCTTCAATAATCAAACCCTGACAATAACAAAATCTTGTCAAGATCCTGATAATACACATCAAATCATGATATTAAGTAATAAAACAATATAAACAAAATCAAGCCCTAGAAATAAAGGAAACCAAAATGTCATAAAAATATCAAGAATACAATTCTAATCATGACACGAAACAATAAATCAACACAAATAAAATTATAACCTAGGAACGCACATCAAATCACGATATAAAACAATAAAATGAAAAGGATTATGGAAGAAACTTACGGATTAAAGCGATCACGAAACAATAAATCAACACAAATAAAATTATAACCTAGGAACGCACATCAATTCACGATATAAAACACTAAAATGAAAAGGACTATGGAAGACACTTACGGATTAAAGCGAAGAATTTGAATAGGATCGAAAACAAATCTCGATTTTGAGAGCTCTCGACCGAATATTGAAACGGAAAGGAGAATTTTATAGAAAATTTTGGACGGTTCCTAACACGGTGGTGAACGAATAATTGTGATATGAGTGGAAGGATGCGGATGCGGGAATTTATAGGGCAAGCAGCGTGTACAACCCAACCACGTATGTTCACTATATTCACGCTTCTACCCTCCATGTTTATCTCACTTTTATAGTTTGTTTGGAAGAGATTTTAATCCAATTAAAATTGTAAAAATAGTTGTTATTGAGTCTCACTTGTCTAATAAAAGTCAATAATAACGACTAATTTTTCAATTTTGATCCGATTTTAATCTCTACCAAACAAGCTCTTATTAATATTTTTACGACTCCTGTTTTATTTTCCCATAATATCTGCAATATTATCTTTTTGGGGAAAATCGTAAAAGTAAGATTTATATTAAAAAGAAAAATGAAAACTGGGTTTACGAGAGGTTCGTGTACTATCTTAGATATTTTATGTAACGGTGCAATGGAGAGAGAAAAAATTAGCTGAATTTCATTTCTCTCTTTTGTCACATTTTATAAATTGTACGTAATAGTTATCTACAAATATTATTCACTGATTCATTATTAAATTCTATCTCTTTAGGGTAAATATATTCACACTACAATTTTTCGATTCGACATTTTAAGTATGCATATCACACTCACCCACAAGTTCAATGGTCGAGGTGCTAATTCGATCCATGATTAGCATCTACGTTTATACAAAATCAAGTGTGGCTATATATGAGCTAATTATTGCCTTGTCTATTTTTTTTATATGGGACAAACTTTAATAGTTTTTTATTCAATACATAAATCTATTTTAATTGAACTCTAATTTTTCATTAGCATCATTTTTTACAAGTAAATATATGATTTCGATATTCATATGGAAAAAATATGAATCTCTTTGATCTTTTTTACAAGTCATTTGTTCACCTGTGACACTTTATCGCCTATGTTTACGCGCGCTTTAGTTTATCCTTGTCGAGAACTAATTAATACCTATCAGTAGTTATTTGCAAAATAATGTAAAAAGGATATTGGCTTTTGGTTAAAATATTCCATTCTGAAATTTTGGAAGTTGTAAGATAAAGATGACATATGTAATGAACCATTTCTTGTGAGCACAATACTCTTGAGACCTCATTTTATAGTCAGAAGTTTGGTTTGATATATTATCTTTAAATTATTCTGCTTGGAAGAAATTACCCACAATCTTGAAACTTCGACTATGGATTTCGACTTCGAATCCAACGCTGTCCACACAAAAGTTTACTTCAACGCCACTGATGGATCTACAAAGATTATGGCTCATTTTGCTCACATTCTACACACTTAACAGGGACGAACTTAGTGAGATGCCACCACTAAATTTCAAATTTCAAATTTAGCCCACAATTTTCTCAAGACTTCCAAAAAATTTCTTATACTTTTCAATTTTGGTTTCCACAATTAAAAGTTTGTGAAAATGGCCCACACAATTCATTTATCCTAGCTCCATCCATGCACACTAAGATACCCTAACTCTATTGTCCAATTTCTATTTCAACACAAAGAAGATTAGACTTTGAAATTAGCATCTTCTGTTCCTTGAGTAAGTGTGTAGATGAAGAAAACGCCCACAAAAGACAACCACAAAGCATTAGCAGTATGCGGTAAAAAAGAACGAAGGAAAAATTACGAGAGTACAAAGTTGCCGAGAGTGTTGTGAAAATATGCTAGGGTTTCATCTTTATATAGGGTGATTCACAACCATCAACTTAATATTGATCCAAGGGTCTCTATTCCTCCTTCAATTTAAGTTGTCGTGAACAACACTTAATAAAAGTGTTAATCCTCAAATGACATTTTATTTTTTTTTGATTGGGATCAACGGAAAATTTTGATGTAAATTTTTCAAGTCGCTTATTTTTCTTCAAAGTTGTTAAGTTGTTAGACAATGCAAGCCCAACGCTTATTAATCTAAAGGTAAGTATAATTATATAATTTTTTGTTAGCAAGTTATATCGGCAATCTTTTACGTACAAGAATTAGAATGACATTGTACAATTGATTAAGCATGTAATGAATGAGTAGGTGATTATAACAAATAAGGTTGTCTTAGTAAATTGAATGAAAATTTGCATCACTAGTCCTCATCGATGGACGCCGTTGGACTCAACCTATTTTTCTCCTCGGCGCAGTGTCTCACTTTTTAGGCTTGTACTTGGTCATCAAAAGGTCCATTTCTTGTTCAAAAGACAATTATATTCTATTATTAATCTACCAATCCACCCTCCAAGTTCACCTGTGTTCTTTTCAAACTCCAATCTCTATATCCGGTTGAGAAATTCAACGCCACTATTCTTGAACAACTTGGAGCCGGGCCTTCTTTTCGTGAATTCTTTAGAACAATTGTGTCTTCCACAATGGAATCTGATAAGTGAGATTTCGAATAACTGTTTAAGCACTCAATACAATATGGCAATTCAACTGTTTGAGTATGCTAGGGAGAAGCTGGACATACATTTGTCCGAAATATTCAATAATATTTAACTATTTCAACGTTATTTTCACTGTTTTTGTCAAATTAATAATTTCAAACTCTTTATTAGTGTCTTGGTAGAATTAAACATGTTTTACGCGTCACTTTAATCCTCTAAAATGTTCCATAGGTATTGTCTCTTGTTCTTACAATAATATTTCTCGTAAGATTATGAGCATATTTCTTTAAATTTTCTCTTTACTCCATACTCTATTTAACCCCATTTGGATGTTCAATTACTCCTATATTGATTTTCTTTCGGTGGATCTATACTTGAACCATGTCCAAATTTGATGTAGTGTTCAACCGATTATTTCTATATGTTCAATCGTAATGTCTATTTGTTATCGTAACTTTATCTTGTAACCATCCGATAAGACCTTCCTTCAGAATACTAATGTTTGTTACCTAATAAATCCACTAGGGCATACTTCTGCATTTTTTCCTAAAGATACACTACCCTTATGTGTATCTTACTGAAGATACTGCTCCACATTTTGTAACAGGAAGTAATTACACAAATCCAGGTTTTTAAAGATTGGTTTTCAAAAATCAGGTTTAAAGTTTACTTATTCAAAAATTAGGTAATGATTTTATATTTTAATAAATATAATTATATTAAAACCCTAATTAATAACCCTAATTTTTATTTTTTATCACTCCCATCTCTCACTCGTCTGCACTCCTTTCTCTCTCGCTTCTCTCGTCTTCTTCCTCTCTTCTCTCTCTATCTTCTCCCTCGTAGTTGTTGCCGTCGAAAACCACAGAGCTCGTTGCTGTGAGCAGGGATCGCTGGCGTTAATGTAGTCCATCGACGCGCATCACCGATAACAGGCTCGGTCTCTCCCTCTCTATTGAATGGT